TGATCGATTCCGTAAAATCCGCAATCTCAAGAAGCGATCATCTCTTGGAGAAGTTTTTCAGGGGCGACCAGAACCGACCCTCCGAGCGGTGCTTCCTGTTTGTTCGCACTTGCGGATTGCTTTACGAGCAGTTGCTTCATGGACTCCCACTGCACGAGCGGCGTAACGTTTACTACGCCCATCGTTTACCAACGCAACTAATCTTGCTACTTGTTCAGGATTTATTTGAGGCATTTTATGTAATTTTAGTCAATAAAACAAGACACCTAATTAATGACAACGACAAATGGTCAAATATGGAGGCATACAACAAATTAGTTGCTATGGCAACGGCATTTGTTTTTTCAAAGACATGATCCTACCAGAGTACAACCCAATCAATTTTGAGTACTCTGATCCTTCAATAAATTTAATTTGTGGGATAAGCGTAAGGTATCGGCAAAAAAAATGTAACTCGGAAAATTTTAGAGATAAATCAATGAATAAAAAAATAAAATGCTCGCGAAAGAAGCCTCTTTCGTATAGGGTGTAAGCACTTTGTATACCATTACTCAATTAACACACAGGGTGAGTCAAAAATTAAGAATAAATCATGGTTCGAGTTATTCCACCACCATCAAGGAGGCTTTGAAAAAATGTTCACCTCTTTATTTTTTCTAAGACAAATGCATTACCTACCAACAAATGAAAGAAAAATAAGAATCGGCCTACTATTTTTCGTTTTTTCTCAAGAAGATAGGTCAAATATCAAGTGCGTCACTTTTTTTGGAACTGAGTGTATGTCTACACTCGTTCAATCAAGGGGTACAGAAAAATGACATTCCATCTCTTATTAAATATATTTGTGTCTCATATTTTGTTCAGCTGTTCAACAAGATGCCAACCCTGATAGCACCCAACCTCCTAGGGACGTCCCGTTTTGGTACAATTCAAGTCCGGATGTCCGAGACGTCCCATCCCGTACGTATCATGCAATGTCCAAGCAAGGACGTCCATGGAATGTCCGAGCTGGTACATCATTTCTGATGTCCTAAAAATAGCATCCTTCAGACGTTCCACGTGATTCATGTAGTAGACTGTCTGGGCAAGGACGTTCTTTGCATGTCTCTGATGGAATATAATTTTGAACGTTCCTTCATTGGAACTTCAATTTTTTCAAATATCTCTTTACGGACGCCCTCAATATTTATAACACCCGAAATGTCCCTTAGGGACATCCGTCGGATGTCCGAATTGGTACATGAACTGTTATGACTTTGGAAGGAACTATAAATAATCCATATGTTCATCTCAGTAATAGTAGGTAGAAGTAAATTATTCGGAAAATATCATTTCATGAGATGTCATGAGTACAACGTCTTATGGACGTCCCAAGGACGTCCTCAGAATGGATACGATTCGGAGTATTTTCTAACTGACATCAGTCGGTGGTATACATTGGCATCAGGACTTCAGATATACATTCTATACAGGGTGTTTAAAAAAACCTAACCCTCTTGCTAGGGTAGGTAGAACATTGCAGAATAAGTTGAGTTTGTTCAGTAAACAAATGTCGTAACGCCATCCGTTTTCAAGATACAAGGTGTTGAAAAAATATTTCTTCTACACATTTTTTACGATTATGTTGAAACTACTGGCAACATTGTGATGAAATATTGTATGGATGTGTTTTGAAAGCTGATACATCGCATGAATTCGTTTTTATGTCTGACACTCATAGAGGTCGTTAGTTACACGGTTCCTACCGAGCACTTTTAAACATAACTTTTTTGAGGTTAGATTTTTCATTCCAAATTTGATGTGGACTTGAACATCATTCAATTCTACACTGAAAAGGTACTTTTGGTGAAACTTGATACTGTGAACCGTTTTCGGGATATTTCGATTTGAAAATGATGACGTGGTAACTGTTGCTGGTACATATAAAGCTATGTATTAGAGTGATATTTTCCTACGACCACCTATGAAAACAGCATAAAACACACCACTTTGTTATTTAGAAAGTAGCTCATGTCGCCATAGTGATGCAAGTTCGAAAGTGATTCTCACGTGTGTTGAAATATTGAAACAACTCACGCTCACCACACAAGGTTAAGGAAGGTATATGACAGAGATTAGTTAACCACAGAACGGTTGACTGATCTCTGGTATATATGATGTACTATGTACTTACTTGGTAAATGAATCACTATAGGTATTTATTATACGTCATCCAAATACATTAATTTTCATTAGTTTATAATTTTTATCATTTCGCATCTTGATCAGGTTCATGTTTCTTTGTCATTCATAATAAATTAATAAATCATATATCGCGAGACATAACCTCGTTGCTGTCTACAACAGCGCTTGGGTCATCTATCGGGTAAGCTTGTAGCTGCTAATGTTAATGTTAAGTTATTGTTTAATTAATGTTGAGCTAATGGTAGCTTAATGTTGAAGTAATGTAAAGGTAAGTTAAGGTATGGTCAAGTTAATGGAAAGTTAGTGTCGATTTAACATGGGTTATTATCGTTAATGTTGACGTAATGTTAAGTTGATGAAAAGTTGAAATCAAGTTAATTTCAATTGATAGTTGAATTAATGTCAATGTATTGGAAATTTAGTGTTTAATGTGAAGTTAATGTCAATTTGATATTGAGTTAATGTTAATTTGGTTTTATGGTAATGTTAAGTTAATTTTGAGTTGATGTTGATTTAATGTTGAGTTAATGTTGAATAATTATTGAGTAAATTTTAAGTTGATGTTAAGTCAATGTTAGGTTAGTTTCAAGTTGATGTTAAGTTGATGTTGAGTTAATGTTAAGTTAATTTCAAGTTAATGTTAAGTAACTGTTAAATTTATGTTAAGTTGATGTTGAGTGAATGTTAAGTTAACGATAAACTAATGATGTCATTTAAATATTGAAGTAAAATTAAATAATAATGATAATGATATCACCTTCATGTGATCGAATATGATTAGAAACATGATCCCTACTCTGGTCTTATAAACACTCATGACATATTATAATAAAAATATTTGTGGTCGTAGGAAAAATAGTGTACGAAACTTGTTGGAAAGTACATTTTCTGTGCTCGTTTCGTTTCCGAAATTTGCAAATGAACCTCGAGACTTAACAAAAATTAACACGATACAAAAAATATTTCTGAAGGTAATATCTTTCTGGAAAAAAAACTGTAAGTTTCCAGCCTGACCTCTGAAAAGTATCACCAAATTTGTACGGCAGCATGGTTGTTTGAAACACTTGTCACTGATGATGATCAAAAACATCCCAAAACGTGACTTACAGTCACAGAACATGCCATGCCAAAAATAATGAAAATCAATCTCAGCCTACTCTTTTTTTGAGCAAAATTATTTTTTTCCAATAAAACTTCGACGCCTTGTACCAACTCAACGAAACGATTTTGGATATAGGTAAGTTGGCCTGAATCGACTTGTTTTTATCCCTGGAGTCCACAGCCAATCCATGTCTCAACCTTTTACAGGCTGTATGTATATCCATTTTTTTATTTTTTCATGTTCATAATTTATCTGAGAATATTCCTTTTCAATTTACTATAAGTTGTTTTAACAATCATACTATCACACTAACCTTGTTTTAACTCTTTCAAGTACTTTGGTGCAGAATTTGAACCACGAATTTCTTGGAGTTAGAGGTATGCTGGGACAAAATATATCCCGTTCTGCAATGGGCTTATGATTTGTGGTACGACGGTTTATTTCCTCTCCCGCCCCATATTACTCACTCATATTGGTCTTTTGAATCATATGTTCTAAGCTGAAGCGAATAAAACAATACATTATTAGTGAATAGAATAAACTCAAAACTTGTTCCGTACGTTGTGTTTCTCCTCTCGAATTGCGGCTGCAAATTTCATGCTCATCATGTTATTACATTTTTTGTTGCATTATATACTATCTAGGCAACATAGGTAACCTACTTGTTATATTTTTCCAACTTATATGTTTATTTTTCGTTCACAAAATGTGAAAATCTATATACGCTGTTTGAAATTCGTCCCACCATACAACATGACCAAGACATTTTTCAAGGATAATGATGAGGAAAATGATGTCGAATTCAATTTTAACAACATTATACTGTCTGATATGAATATCGAGAAACCAGTATGGATACATGGGACCCAGAAGATTTGATACTTTTATCGCGGAGTTGAAACCAGGGATAGAGAAAAAAATTGTGTGTGGAGTGGATGAGATCGTTCAGCCAAAAGATTTCAATAGAACCTCTGGAGTGGCTCAAGATGGACAATCTCTCTCGTCAGTTCATCACGGACAAATTATTAGATCACATAGTTTTCCAGATCAATCTATATACTAAGCAGAATTATCAGACGACTGAAAAGACATATATTCATGAAATCTTTTCCTTGGATGCCGCTGTAGTCAACTCAACTCATTTATTCTTCACATAATACTCTATATCTTTAAGTTATCAATTAAAGATTTGATTATTTAGCCGTCAATAAATATCAGTATCTTCATCGAGAACATCAATCGAATGGACGAGTCAAATAGAGAAAAACACTCAGTCAAAGCGCGGTAATGAGAGTCACACAGTGTGCTCATCAACCTATCCGAACAAGTCGAAGGAGATAAAGCTCTTTGCAATTCAGGAAAGTTTGAAGTTGGAACAAACTGGTTGTGTGTTTCACTTTGTCTTCAAAGAACGACACATGTTTGCAGACGTTTCACAGTGATTTGAAATGAGTCGATTCTCATAAAATCTTTCACCTTATGGAATGGTGGGTTAGATTTTGACCCACCGTTTTTTTGTAAAAATTGGAAAATTCTGAAATTATTTTATATTTGTTCATATCTTTTGAGTCATTTGGAGTTAGTTTGTGAATAAATCTCTTGAAAATCTGAAGAAAAATAAAGCTGTACATCTAGGAAGTGTTATATTTCGAAATTCCTGTACCTGAAAGAGTTAAACTGTGCCTATACTATATTCATTACATCATTATACCGGCAAGAGTGATGAGGCGATATCTTGCTGCGGGCCGTCTCGTCTGGCCCAACCGTGCGCTTTCGCCGGTCATGCCGGTTGCCGGTTATTCTTCGTCTGGCACCGCTGCAATGACACTCGTGTCGAGGTGAGGAGCACGTTGCGTGAAAAAAACGAGCGCTAAATCTAAATACCACACGCGCCCTCACTTTTTGTTTTTCATCCCCCGGCGCGTACCCGGGCGGAAATTTGACATTTCCGGGTTTCCGGTCAGCAGGCGGCATAGTGCGACTTTTTGGTGGACGATTCAAATGTTGTTAGGGCACGACCGAAAGTGCTGAAGACGGAGTGTGTATGTGGGTTGGATTTCCGAGTTTGTTGGGACAGGTGAGCACAAAGAGCGAGGCTATATTTATACTTACATCGGTTCAGGTTCAAAAGTTACTTCATATACAGGGTGCCCGTAATTCGAGCTTGAGCATGGGGATGTCGGCGGTTATCTTGAGAGATACGATGTTGCTCAAATTAGGGCAAACTCGCGCGTTCTGGTGCTGAACAATAATCTGAAAAAAAAGCTGACCTATCTTTCTTAGTTTTCAAGATATCACCGAAAAACTGAATCATGCGATTTTCATTTTTATTTTTTTATTGGAAAACCGATCAAGTTAGCCATTTTTAACCAAAACATTCTCAAAGCAGTTTTTTGCAAATAATTCGAAAATGATATCACATTTTTTTAACACACGAAGAAAGAAACAAACGACAGTCAACTTTTTTTTCTCATGGACGCCATATTGAATTTTTATATTTCTGAATACAGTTTTTTACAGAAATTACCTAAGAAGATTGAAGATCGAAGATTTCCATGGAAACAAATTAGTCGAATTTGTTGATTTCGAATTTTGACAGTTCCGTACAGTTTTAACTCTAGAAGTTCACTCTTTCAGATTGCAAAATGCCATTTTCCAATAAATAACAGAGAGATGATAATGTATCAAATCATGGAAATCATCCATATTTCTCAAAGTGGTCCAATTGATTTTTATAAGAAAAAACAATGAAAGTCCCAAAGTCTGTCGACCACGAAAAAATCTTTAATAGGTAGTGTAACTAGTTTCGGCCACAGGCCATCATCAGACACAAAAATTGATGTAATAAAGTACCTAAAAGATATAAAGAACATGGTTAAGGAGTCAAGAAGAGAGTCAAAAAGTTGGTATACTAACCTCAGTGATACATATCAGAAGCAAAATTTTTTAACATTATCAAAAGCCAAGGTCGAAAAAACAAATTATCAGTCCTGAATGTAAATAGTATTAGTTTTAAACGAGGTTTTAAATCTGGAAAAGGTCCAGTAGGACCAGATCAACATAATATTAATGAACAGATACATCTGAAATTGGAAAATTTCAAAAAATTCTCTCACGTGAGATCTCGCGTGAGATTCATCAGATTATGCAAATTGCAAATGGAAGCTAAGACAGAATTCTAAGAATCAACAACATCAAAATCACATGAAACCGTGAAACATGACAAAGAACAAGTGACATAAGCTCGGACATAAGTCAATGTCAATAACACATATGACATACAAATAAAATTAATATAAATGATGACCAGAATCATGACAATGACAAGTGACACCAGTCAAAAGTCAAATATGACAAAACTAATCAACATTGACAAACCAAATAAATTTTGAAACAATGGGAACAAGAGATTGGGAGGAATAAAACAATAAACCAATATGGGTTATAATATGTTTTGACTCGTGTTTTGATGATAATCATTGGAATTTTAGAGTACGAAAAATCAAGTTACGTTCAAAATTGGTTCGATCATTAAAACAAGTGGAATTAGGATCATTTATTCATTTTTGAATTTCTAGAATTTCCAATAGGTTCAACCTATATAGAGCCTTTATTACAAATGTGGAGAAAATCCATATTTTCAGATGTATCAAAATTATGATTGAATTCAATTATATGGTTTGAGAAAGAGGAACTACCCGGTAAACATTTTTTCCGCGGAAACATATATGAAATATCAATTTTACGTCATATAAATGATGGTCAACATCAAACATACGTATCCAGAATACGTATTTTCTGAGGCGATAAGTCCCAACTTTCAGCGTAGTATAAACGTCAATTCAGTATAGTCTTATATGCATCTTCATTATAACGTTTTCTATCAGACGATCAACAAACATACCATATTATACGTCAATTGATAGATTGAAAATAAATATCCTAAAAGAAATGGTTTTCTCAGAGGCGATGTCCCAATATTCAGCGTCGTATAAACGTCAATTTATCATTGTCACATTTCCATCTTTGAAATAACGTTTGATATTAGATGATTCACAAGAATATTAAACAATACGTGAATTTCTGGACAGAAATTATCTGTCTGGAATGAAATGGTCTTTTCTGGGGCGATAAGTCCCAACTTTCAGCGTAGTACTATAAACGTCCTATTTCATTCGTCATATTTTCATCTCCAGAATAACGTATCGTATCGGATGAATAGAAAACATATAATACTATACGCAAAGCAGGAAATTGAGGATATATGTATCAAATAAAACGATCTTTTCATAACCATTATATTCACATCTTGAAATGTTCGTATCTGCTGGATTTAATACAAACGTATAAAAAAATATGTCGAGTAATAGATTGAAAATCAATGTCTAATAAGAATGGCATTTTTTCGATATAATCACAAACTTCATCGTAAATTCATTATAATTCGATTCTAAGAATGACATGAGATGTCATTAGTTCAATCATTATATTTACATCATGAAGCTAACGTACGCGTTATGACAGATGATTTTGATATTGTACTAATACTGAAGTTGCCATCAGATCGAAGACTGTTTTCTGATCAATTTCGTGGACTCGGTATTGGAAGAAACGATGGTCAACAGTCGTCATTCCTGCAATAAAATATATTTCGTTATGTTAATGATTCATATAATAACCGTCGAAAATAAAACGCAAGTTTTTCATCATATTTACATAAGGAAACTAATGTAAGTATAATCACAGATTGAAAATATATTGTTGATATTTAACTCACCTCATCGGTATTCACACATCATAATGTATCGATTTATCTCTAGCCTGGATTAGAAATTTTCCTCAGATTTCAAGACTAGTGGGTTTGAGAGATGTTCGAAGAGAGTCAGTTTGGTAAGTAACGGGGGCAAATGATTTGAAGCCGTCATTTCTGCAATTCAATCTATTCTGATTCAATAATAATCCACAAGACCTATCTGAAATAAAACAAGCAACAAACATTATTCATTCTACTCACTTTATGGAACAACATATAGAGTAAGTGGACGTATGTGTCGATTTCTTTGCATTGTAGCCTCTCTAACAAAAATTAACCTCTCACTCCAAGTCTCTGAGACTGGTTTAAAAAATGTTTTTTCCTGGTCCATTTTGTAGCAAGCCATTGAACGTAATAAGGGCCAATTGTTTGGAGCCATCATTGCTGGAATTTGATGCATTATTATGTTACAAAAATAATTCAAAATATTAGTCCCGAGATTAGTCCGAACTGAAGCGAGTTTCATCCATCATATTTACATCATGGAACTAATGTAACGTAACTATTTTGATATTTCTGTACTTACATCCGTAATGTATCGGTTTCTTCTTTTTTCAAAAAATGATCTTCGATTCCAAGACTGTTATAAAAAGGGTTGCTTTCCGATTCATCTTGTTGAGAAATTCTGACGAGGGCCAATTTTTTTAAGTCTTCGTTCCTGCAATTGAATTGGGGTATAGGTTATCCTCACGGACAGAGACAGGAATATCTTTTAGATAGGTGAACTCAGGTCATAACTGATAGGTACAGCAAATTAAAATTATTAATGCTCTTTCTCAAACCATATAATTGAATTCAATCATAATTTCAATATATCTGAAAATATGGATTTTCTCCACATTTGTAATAAAGGCTCTATATAGGTTGAACTGGTTGAACCTATTGGAAATTCTAGAAATTCAAAAATGTATAAATGATCCTTATTCTACTTGTTTTAATGATCAAACCAATTTTGAACGTAACTTGATTTTTCGTACTCTAAAATTCTAATGATTATCAACAAAACATATTATAACCCATATTGGTTCATTGTTTTTCTCCTCCCAATCTCTTGTTACCTCGCTTGTTCCCATTGTTTCAAAATCTATTTGGTTTATCAATGTTGATTAGTTTTGTCATATTTGACTTTTGACTGGTGTCACTTGTCATTGTTATGATTCTGGTCATCATTTATATTAATTTTATTTGTATGTCATGTGTTATTGACATTGATTTGTGTCACTTGTTCTTCGTCATGTTTCACGTTTCATGTGATTTTGATGTTGTTGATTCTTAGAATTCTGTCTTAGCTTCCATTTGCAATTTGCATAATCTGATGAATCTCACGTGAGAGAATTTTTTGAAACTTTCCAATTTCAGATGTAACTGTTCATGAATATTATGTTGATCTGGTTCTACTGGACCTTTTCCAGATTTAAAACTAATACTATTTACATTCAGGACTGATAATTTGTTTTTTCAACCTTGGCTTTTGATAATGTTGAAAAAATTTTGCTTCTGATATGTATCACTGAGGTTAGTATACCAACTTTTTGACTCTCTTCTTGACTCCTTAATCATGTTCTTTATATCTTTTAGGTACTTTATTACATCAATTTTTGTGTCTGATGATAGCCTGTGGCCGAAACTAGTTACACTACTTATTAAAGATTTTTTCGTGGTCGACAGACTTTGGGACTTTCATTGTTTTTTCTTATAGATAATAATGTGTTGAAAATTTCTTTTTTTAATTAACAGTTGAATGTGAACCGATAAGAACAAAAAATCAAGGGCCAAATATAAATAATCAGAGAAGCTGTTCAAACTGTCCACCTTCCACCTGCACGTTTTCTCATAATTATTTGCGATTGCTCTTTTGATACTTCATCTTCTTATCTGTCTCAAGGAGTCAATAATATTTTGCCGAAGGTCATTAATATCGACTAGCACAGTTTTATAAACTGTATTTTTCATTGTGCCCCATAAAAAGTAGTCCAAGGGCGATAGGTCTAGAGAACGCGCTGGCCAACATACATCACTATTCGCAATAACCCTATTAGGAAACATTTCTGACAAATATTCTGTAACCCTTCTGGCATTATGAGGAGGCGCACCGTCTTGTTGGAACCATAAATCACGCAGGCGGTTGAGATTAATATTGTCCCACTACAAATATATTGAAATAATACGAATATTTTTATTTTATAGAAACGAGGAGAAAAATCCCAGAGAATCAAATAAAATGAATATTGTTATCCATATAATCTGCCGAAGAAGTCCTTATA